ATATCTCTCTCTCTCTCTCTCATATATATCCTATATATATATATAGAGAGAGAGAGAGAGAGAGAGAGAGAGAGAGAGAGAGGTCAATTGGCCCTTACTGCAAGGGTCTTCGCAACAAGCAGAGGCTTCTAGGGCATGTTGCGTACGTTATGCGGAAGTGCGATCATCCACTAGGTGAAGGCGTCGGAAAGCGATCTTGCAAGCCTGTCCTAGTAAAATCCTCTGACACTACTGCAACCATGCAACAAGACAATACCGAAACCACGTCGATCGCGCAACGAATTGCCGAACATGTAAGAGTCGAGCGTTGCAAAGTACTTCGAAAGCAACATGATCACACAAGAATGTAGCAGTCGTCTGCAGTACAAACGAACTGCCGGGTACACCAACGCAATACGACACTGCAACACCACAATACAAAACACACCACTGACTTGCAGCCGTGCGGTGTCAGCAGATGCATGGTACAACGGAAGAGGCCAAGGCCTTCTTCCAGCAAATCGCCGAGGCTGACGCAGAGGGGCACGGCCTTGGGTCAAGAGGCGGGTCAGTTCGTCCTAGCCTGGGCAGGCTACGGAACCTAGCACAAGCGTGCAGTGGAGCTGCAGTAATGATGCCTGCCCCGTTATCATGAAAGATTTGCATCAAAGACGAGAGTCGATCATTTCTGCAACCTCTCCAACACTGGAAGCATCTGAAACCAAATAACTAGACTTGTCATGAATGCTGATAAACTGTTACAAACAGACTTATGACTTATGACACATGAACACGAGTGGCTTGTGCTTCCTGGTACCTCGCCCCATCGCTGAACCTTTGGAGTGACTGGGCTTCCTGCGACCCATCGGGACAGCAAAGAGACCCCGAACAGTGAAGGTTCCTCGGATTGACGAGCAGTTGGTTCTGATTTCGTTCGAAGACTCATCTGCTCTAGCAGTACTGCCGTGTAGGGTCGCTTTGGCTGCAGAGTGTTCAAGGATCCGGGAGGGTCCTAGTCCAGCAAGCTCCAACTACTAAGAACCAGTTAAGTATTTCGCTGCATGCTGCATGTCGTTACGCTTCCTGTCGTGCTGATGGCATTATGGCATGCAAAAAGATCAGAATCAGTCTGCTGACCAGCCAAGTTGGGCCAGCCGAGCGCCGAGGGCTGGGCGAGTTGGGACACGGCACTGACTCGCCCACCTCGGGTGTGTGAGTGTCGCACACGCAGACGACAAGTCTTGATCAAAGGTGGCTACACTCAAACACAAAGAGAACGTGATCTACTGGCAAGCCTCGCAGAACTCTGGCAGCTTCAAGTGCTTCGGAGCATGAAGCCCTGGCGCAATTCCGATGGTCTCTCTGCCGCAGCTTTCAAAGTGGCACAACTGACAAGACAGAATGGAAGGGCCAAGTACTAATACTAGTATCCTGTGTGAATCTTAATGATTCCTTTGTCGCCTAACCGATAACCAATGCACGAATAACAGTCGTGATAGTGGTAGTAGCACTAGCAACACTGATCATGTTAAGAACCCAGGAGTAGTACCTGGTTAAATCTGCACCAACGCTCCTGAATCAGAACGCTCCTCGAAGCCCTGGCGATGCAGAGAGAAGAGATTCCACGTAAAGCCCGAGAGTTCACTCAGAAGATCCCAAGCCGATATGAGCAAAGGGCATCCCGTCCTGTGCAGTCATGCGCTTTGGGCTTCTGGCACCTCGACATTTTCTCGGAGGAGTTGGGTGAACCAAGAGCGTGTAACACTCGTACGATGATGTACGAGTTAGAGCAGGCGCAGGACGACGAGTGGTAGAAACACTCATAGCCCCAAGCAATTGTTGTTCAACGCGAGTGCGTTCCAAGATCCTGGGCCAAGTGTTCGAGCATGCACCCGTCAGTAGCCCCCGATAGCGAAAACGAGTCCTACTGTAAAAAATGAACATACAATTACAGTCAAAAGCACTGCGATCAACAAACAGCAGCAACAACAACAACCAGACTCACTCAAGATGACAATCGATGCCAATGCTAATGCTGACCAAATGACCGTGCTTTGAATAGAACGTTCACGTCACATTGGGAGCACGTGGAAGCTGGGGTTAGTGAGACGAGAACACTTTTCAACGGTCATAACTTATAACCCCACGCCAACACACCCATGCTGAAGATCAAACCCAAGACTTGACAACTCTGATCTGAAACTAAGGATTCGGAACCCTGAAATCTCAGGCTCCATTCCCCTTCTCTTGTTGCCGCGGGGCTTTGAGCCAGAGTTGGGTGCCGAGGGGCACAGCCTGAGTGAACAGGCCGGCAATCAAAATTGAAAATGGGCTTAGCAACGATTGCAGCGATTGCATTCCGCATGATTTAAGCAACGGAAGATTGCAAGATCTCATCGCACTGCTACTGAAGCACCACTCTGCTAAACGAGACATGATATTTCGCAGCTACTAAACGAACACGGTTCTCGTGATTCGAACGGCTGTCGAGTAGCACTCGCAGCCGCCACCGTCGTCGACGGCAGTAGAGCAGATGCAGCAGCAGCAGCAGCATCACCAGCAGCAGCAGCAGCAGACTACTCGAACGGCCAGGCAGTGCACCTGGTATGTGTACGGCAATCTCATGTTCTTATTCTGTCCCAGTCCCAATTTAGTTCTGCTGTAACTTTTCCTGCCCCTTCTACTATGCTCCATGACTCACCCAAAAAGGGGATCAATTCAAGGTGCCCACAAGAAGAGTCCGAGGCACTGAACTTGCCTCAAGGTGTTTAACTTAAGCGTGAGGTTTCCCTCTGCTGGATGTCTCATGTCTTGGTGACGGGCGAGCCATCGGGGCAGCACTGGCTTTCTTTGCAGAAGTCCCTGAGTGCATGACCGAGTGCAAGTGCGGAAGGAAGTCTATGTAGGACCATCAGCGGCTAAGTAGAGTTCGAGATCCCGGAGGCCCCAACCACCACGGTACGCTGCAAACTGAATGCGGTGTCACGGCAGTGGGTAAGTGGAAGGCAGGCCCCCTGATCCATTCCACGCTGGCTGCACCGACAACCCTGTCTCTGCCTAGTGCTGCTGTCTCGACGGTGGAACATCAGTGTAACATCAGTCAAGAACAGCCTAAAACACAAGTCCAAGAAGGAAACGGCAGGCAAGATGTTCATCACTTCATTGCCGAGCTGCTCCGAGTTGGGGCATTGCACAGTGCTTCCAGGCTTGCATTGGCCCTGCATCGAGAAGGAAGAAGCTACTGGCAACGGCTACTCTCCCTGCATCGTGAGGACATGTGAGGACTACAGGACTCTCTTCGACTCGTGCTAGCAACACACTCGACAAAGCCAGAGCTTCGAACGAGCCTTCGGTTGTTCCTTCTCCTCCTCTGGTTCCTTTTCCTCGGCCTGAAGGCGATAACTGGCGACGAAACACTGGTACGAAGGCGCCGCAAGCTGCATGACGAGGTCCACATATTGTTGTCGGGTAGATTCGGCGAGATACTACTAGCATCAGTGAACCTCGTGTCAGAGTGAGTCGAGCTGTGCACGGGGGGATGTCGAGCCGTTGCCAAATCAGTGTGATTCAGACATTCGGTTGTTCGCTTCCAGGGGGATGGCATCTGATTGCATAGCTCTCCATGGCAGTACCGCACGGCAGGAGTGATGCTACTAGTATGCGACTCCTGGTCATCAACGAAGGAGAAACTCAGCGCATGGCTGGATTGTCGCCATCCGTGCCCCTGGCATGAGCAAAGGCAAACAGAGAAATGAGCAACACACTCTGTGGGCTCCAAGATCTCACAAGACTGTTGTCAGTTCTGCCGCTGCATAACAAGGTCGTAGTTTCGGCCGTGCTCAGAAACCGGTGGACCATGTCGGGAGCAGCTGCCAACGGCATCGCAGGATGTGCGACTGTGCATATCACCGTGCACTGCACAACCAGCTGCAGCATTACGATTTATGCTGCATGCTGCTGCGCAAGATTCTGTTCTCTTATAGGAATGCGGAGCTGGGGCGTGGCCTGCACGCCACCTTTTTCGGGTGCTTGCAGATCTTGTTGGAGTAGTATGGAGCTGAAGGGCACAACCTCAAGACTCAGTTGAAAAGCTTGGAGTTACGAAGCAAGCAATGGCGGCAGCCGACGGTTTCGCTCAGTCATCGGACAATCAAACGAAATCCGATAGATCTTGCCAGGAGCCCTGCGACTGGTCTGGGCAGCACTCGTCGCCGAGGCAGTATGAATTCCTTGGCACCAGGATGCTCATGTCATACATACTAAATCTAGGTCCTGACATGTGGATAAATAGATTCCAGCACGGCGGACCCCTCAGCCAGTGTTGGGCTAAAGCTTACCGTCAGTCTCGTAGTGGAGATGTGTATGTCGTGCCACGAAAAGCGCTGCAAGCACAAGCCGCTGCAGTAGCCCTTTTCCTTTTCACAGCTGTCGGACTTCGACCCGCAGCTGCAAGCATGCACTGAGCCGAGCCGTCTTCATCTTCCGGGACTGCCCGCTAATCGACCGTCGTGAATTCGCAGCTCTCACTTCAGGCGAACGAGCCCTGAGCTGGTCCTCGCAGTTCTTTGAGCTTCTTCCGGCAAAGCTCTCCGTCGGCGTTGCGCCATTGGCCTGATTCCTCCAAGATCGGCAGATCCCAGACCGCACGTTCCATGTCATTCCTGATGCTTGGATCGGCCCTACGCTCCAGCAGCAAGGAGCAGAGAGCCCAATTCCTTCCGTTCACTGCCCAGTGCAAGGGAGTGCCCCCAGCTCGTGCGCGAGCATGGATAGAGGACTGTGCCTCGTCAATCAGCCTGGAGGCGACCTCTATCGCAACGGGAGGATCAACGGAACCCCAGTGAAACGCCACAGCGTGCAGGCCAGTTTCACAGCCATCTTGGAAAATGTCCCGGGCTCCAGCTGCAAGCAGGGCATCGAAAATGCCAGCATGGTCTTTGTGCTCGTTCCGAAGCCTCTTGCCGTCGAGTTTCTTGGGCTTGTCCAGTTGTAGATGCCATTTCTTCAGGCAGAGCAATAAAGCCGTTAGATCCCCCTCTGTCAAAACATTCGCATCTGCACGGGCTTGCAGAAGAGCTTCAACACAATCCAGGTGGCCTGCAGCCGCTGCCAAATGAAGAGGTCTCAGTCGTCCAAGTGGCTTACCCATCTGGGACTGCCCGAGCTGTCGCAGAATGACATGTTGATGCTGCACTGCTTTTGGGTCAGCATGGATGACCTTCTCGAGCTCCGATGGCCGCCAGCCTTCAGGAGTAGCCTCGTCAGGCGAGGTTCCGTTCAGAAGCAGGAGCCGCACACAGTCTGCATGGCCAGCAGAGGCGGCCAAGTGAAGAGGAGTCAAAGCCCAGGCTTCCGCGGACTGGGCGCTCCCAGAGCTCTTCAGCAACGTGGCCAAAGAGCTGCAGGCCCCTTCAAAGCTGGCGTGGTGATGAGCAGTCCATTCTTCGCAATCCCGAGCCGTGACATCTGCCCGTGCCACCAGCAAGAACTCCAAAGCTTCTCGCGAGCATCCAGCACTTGCTGCGACAGCCAGCACCGGTGTCCGTCGGGCTGCGCTTACCGTCGGCCTGCCGCCCAAGTAGTGGCTTGCATAGTCGAAGGCATCATAACCGAGGTGGCCGATGAGCTCGGGATGCAAGTGGAGCATGAAGCCTTAGTTATCTAAATTACGTACAGCAAACAAAGAGGGTTGTCAACCCTGTCAAACCCTGGCTCCCATGCAGCCGTGATGTTTCCGGATGGTTTCGTGACGATGTTCCCTTTATTTCCGGCTGCAGACAGGCCATCGCCGAGAAGCGGAGCACCGGAACAGCGTTGGCCCTCGCCGCTGCGCAGAAGAAAGCGCTCAGTGCTTCGGGGTGTGGATCCTCGAGCTGCCGCGCCTGTCTAGCAGCCGAGGAGTATTCTGCTGATAATGCCTGCTTCACATGGTTGTTTGGGTGCTTGGGGATGGTTGTCTAGTGGTCGCTCGTGACGGAACAACGACGTCAGTCCCGTTCAGCAATATCAGCAATGTCAGCGACCCAGCTAGGTTTTTGGAAAGCGTTTAGGCAACTTGCAACGCTGCAAGCAAAAAGCTGGTCTGAACCCTAAAGCCCGAATTCGTCAAGCCCCAACCCTCTGAACCCTCAGCTACCGTAACACCGCCACGCCCTGGCTCAGTGTGTAGTTCGAGGAAATACCCGCAGGCTCATGGATTGCTGATCTGTTGATGAGACGGCTGGACAAAAAAGGAGCCTCATGGACTCATGGTGCTTGGAAGCCGCGCCACTCTACAATACTGCCAGGTGTTCGGGAAATTGCGGTGTATTCCAACATATTCCAACATGCGATAATTAACGGTGACAATGCTGTGATCAATCTCGTGAGAAGGAGAAGCCGGGTCTGAAGCACCTCAAGGCCATTGAGGGCGGCCAAAGCACAAAGCTCCTGGCGCAAGCTGAGTGGCGGGAGATTCTGACTTTCACCGGAAATTCCGTGCAGACAGTTTCTGAAGGTTCAAGCCAAGTCCTTGCTTGCACCACTTGCACATGGGCTCCGACTTTCCTCGGGTGGCAGGACTCGCATTGGCAACATGATGTCTCCACGACACAAAGCCCAATTACGTGAAATATCGCAACGCCGAACACAATGAATCCACTACCCCCGTGCGAAGCCCTACAGTTCCTGCATCTTGATGCAAAATCCAAGAACAAACATGTTTGCATCTCGGCATTCCAGTATGTCTAGCTGCATTGCCGTGTGCAGACACGAACTTCAACCTCCCCCCCCCCCCCCCCCCCACCCCTCTGCCACTCCAATGACAAGATGCTAGGATCTTTGCAAAGCCCTCGGCAGTGAGAATGCGAGAAGCCTGGTGCATGTCCTCATAAGCTTTTTTTGCGAGCAAGGCAATGCAAGATAACGCTGAAATGGCCCGAAGATCAGGGACCTTCCTATTCTGACTTCGGGCCGTCGTCCTGTGGAAGATCTTTGCCTCTCCGGAAATCCTGTCAGGAGCGATGCGTTTTTGCAGCAGATTGCAACAAGCCCCGGAAGACCAATGCAACAATCACAGCAGAGCATGCTTCATCGTGTGCTTAATCAATCCATCATTATGCAGTGATCTCGAACGACTTCAGAACAAAGATGCTCAACTCCCCGACGAAGCATTGCGGTTGTGAAGAGGATTTAAGTCGCAGATGCTAAAGAAGATTCGGCCAGCAATGGACAGCAAATGAAGAGATGACAACCCCTTCGAGGTTTATCTTGATGTGTGTGTGTGCGCGCGATTGTGTATCGGCAATACCTGTGTTGTTGTTGCACTTTGGCTCTACATGGGTAGCATTGTCGAATTGCCTGAGACTCGACTCAAGCTCGAGTGCTGCAACCGCGTCCTGGCACCGGTGGCACAGGATGGGACGCAGCACCTCGTGACGTGGCAACCGGAGAGAGTCCAAGCGGCTGCATGCAAATGCGTGATGCACAACTTCGAACATGGCAATGAGAGTTTGCACATCCATGGCAAATACAGAATGCACATGATTGCAGTTTTGGCACGTGCCGAGCCAAGTTCTGGCCTCAATTGCTGCGATCAGGGCTCCGGCAGGATCATTGCGTCGCTGTGATGCATTACATGCACTGCTGAAGATTGCATGCGAACATGGCAGGATAAATAAACGGTTAAGGTACTCCTACACGACTAAGTCCTTGCAGTTCCCGTTTTTGATGCTTCCCTCATCACCACACACGCAACTGTTGCTGCTACTGCTACCATTACCACTACCACCACTACTACCACTACTACCACTACTACTACCACCACTACTACCACCACTACTACCACTACTACTCCACTACTACTACCACTACCACTACCACTACCACTACCACTACCACTACCACTACCACTACCACTACCACTACCACTACCACGACCACTACGACTACTACTACTACTGCTGCTGCTGCTGCTGCTACTACTACTACTACTACTACTATCTAGTATTGGTATTACTAGCCTACAGTGCCCTCTAGCCCAAGCTTCAAAAGCCCCTACGCTTTACGCTTGCGAGACAAGTGACCATCACCCCGCTGAATCCAGGGTCGCTGGAGCTGGCTGACAACACCCTTCGCGGCATTTCCCGTCCGACGGCGCACCTGGTCGCAGGCGAGCCTCGGACCGACCCCGCGTTTGAGCCCAGGTGCACGTGCTGCTGAACATCTGCTACACCCCCATACCTCGTCCCTCGCCCCCCCGAAACTCCAGGTCAGTCAGGGAGCTGAAGGATCTCATCGAGCATTGCACCCCGGGACTCTTTCAGGACAGATGCCAGCTGAAACCCCAGATTGTCTTCGCACCTGTCCTCGATGCAAGTCCCTCGGTCACCTGCCCAAACTACGTAAAAGTTGCCGGCCATATCCACGCTGGAGCCCGAGGTAACTTTGGCCTTGGGGGCCTGAGCCATGTGAGCCTCAGCCGGTGACGCGCGGAAGGTTTTGTCTTCGGAGTTCTCGCGGCAGCAGTCTGGCAAGGCCACGACGCCGACTTTCGGCACACTGGTGAGGATGCGTTCTAGCACAGCTCGAAGTGGGAACCCCCCAGAAGCGTCGTTTGGCATTCGCATCATGAGATCTCCTGCTACTTCTGCCCCGTGGCCTGCGAAGTAGAAGACCACGAGGTGCTCTTGCTCCGGTTGCGACTGCAGCTCGCAGACGAGCGTCGAAACTTGCTCTTCAAACACCGTACCGTCTGCGTCTTCACTGAGACGCACTTTGAAGCCTGCACGCAGAAGAGCATGCTGCAGCTTGCGTCCGGTCGGTACGGCATTGCTCAAGTCGCCCTGAGCTTCATCCTGCTTGTAGCTGTTGCAAACAAGCAAGGCGTGGCGCAGTGCGAAGATACCTTCGCAATGCAGTGCGGGGCGTGGAGGCCCTGGCGCCCCAGAGCCCCCACCGCCCCCACCCTCAGCCTCGTCAACCTCAGGTAAAACTCGGGCAGCTCCAGTCCCCAACTGCTCCATACTCTGTGGCCTGATCTCGGCAGGGAGGTAGCCCTCTGTGGCAGCGGTCGATGCAGAAGAGCCGGAGCTTTGCTTGCGCTGGATCGGGAGAGGTGGGCCTGGCAACCGGTTGCGCATGGCTGCTTCCTATTCCCGAAGCAGCCTGCAAACTAGAGCTGGATGCAATTGCCTACTATCACTCTAGGTCTCTACGAGCTCTTGGCTTTCTCCGAGTGATCCGGCCGTCATGGCCAGGCCTGCAGAAAACGCAGATCTGCTGTCGAAGTTGCGGATTTCACGAGCCTCAGCCAAAATGTCTTCAGACGTTTCACATCTGGGCATGGGCCACGCAATCCTCGGCGCTGCGGACAAGTTGCCACGGCATGCTTCTCTTTGCGGAGTGCCTCGTCGGCATCATGACATCACGGTGTTGATCGAAGTTCGAAACTCTGCGGCAAAGCATCAGAGCATCTGACGTAGTCACAAGCAGGAACTGAAGGAAACTGCAGACTCTCGGATTCATCGGAGCCTCCTCTTCTGCCGTCATTCCACTTTCAGCAGAACGGATGGTGGGGTCTGCCCGTGCTTCCAAGAGCCGCCTGGGACTGCAACAGACTGAGTGAGGCTTCACACCTCCTTGAAGCCGCCCATGTCCTAGACTCCCCGGTCGGGAAGCTTCGCCTGGCAATTATGTCGCGCCCGGTATGCGCCGCCATGTGCAAAGCAGTCCTCACGACGCATCACAGATCTCACAGACGAAGGGTTTGTCGGCAAACGATCCTGCCACCAAGGCCGTGAGCATTTGGATCTGCGCGTGCCTCGAGCAAAGCCTGGCAGGTGTGGTGCTCGGCTTCCCAGAGCCACAGCTCTGTGCGTTCATCCCTTCGTCCCGCAATGTGCCTGGGCCATACTCCAGTTGTTATGGCCAACGGCTTGATGTAGAGGGCAGTCGCCATTCCTGGCAGCCAGAATTCAGGAGCATCCCCAAGGTTTGCTCTACGTACTGAACGTGCCAAACTCAGGAACTGCAAACCCAGCGGTGACTGCGCACCATGGGATCCCCGCAACTTCGTCCTCAAGAGCCCTGAAGCAAACCCGCTATGCATGAGGCTCACATTCGGCCCTTGCCGAGGCTCTCTGCCACGACGGTCGGATCTGCCCGTGCCTTCAGCCTGAACCATCCCATGAAGAAAACCGGATTTCGTTTATGTGAGGCTGAGGCTTCAGGGCAGAAAGTCCTCAAGAACGACTCAAGGCTTTTGGGATAGGCTGCCATGACTATTTGGAGCTGCGTCACAGAGTGCGCACCAGGTCTGTGAGCTCTTCCTTGTCATCCTGCCCGCTCAGCAAGCACTGAGGTGCAAAGCCGTGGCTGGAGAGGCTCATTCAATAAACTCTTTGTTCTCTCTTGCCTTCATGTAGGATGGGAGCCTGGTCGCGCAGTCGAGCACAGAACGCTCCTTGCCATTCCTTGCCGATGGACGTCGCACATGCTTAGGTCGCGTTTAGAGACCTTGTCTGCCTCGGCCCCTTCCCACACTAGCATATTGATCCGTGGAGTTCGAATCGGCGGGCTTAGCAGTCCAGGCGCTTCACGTTGCAGTCTGCCCGTGCTTCAAGCAGGACCTCACGTGTTAGAAGACTGGAAGTGCTTGAGACGCGATTGTAATGGAAACCATATCGATAAGTACCATAAATCAACATCATATCGCCTTCTGTATGACGGTGTGACAATGGTGTTGCTCTGATGGCTGGGGACGCTAACGGGCAAGGTGACGGAACTGGGGGTGCCAGTGCAGCGCTTTCGGCAGTGCAGTGCAATAGAAGACATCAACTGCCTTAACCTTGAGCTAGGTTAGTTGCGGCCCGTGGTTGTCTGCGCTAGCCCTGTTTATTGCTCCGCACATGTCCGCACAGCCACGCACGCAAACATCTCTCGAACAAATGGGCGACTTGTTGAGTCCTGCTTGCTGCCTGCCGATAATGATATATTGTGACCGTACTGACACGGCGGCAGTCACCGTGATAAGCGACGAAAAATCAAGTTGCCCGCCCGACGACACCCCATCCCCACACCTCCAGCATTGGCAGTCGACGCCGCTGGCAGGCTAGGTGCAGAGCTGAGTGCCCTTGGTTCGTTTCCTTGGAGGCAGGTCTTTGCACATGCACTTCATGTATTCGAGTGCTGCAGCAGACCTCGATTAATTGGCACAGTCCACAGTCTGAATCTTCAGTCTCGAGAATTGGTTACCAAAGTTAATAGTCCCCCTAAAAGGCACAAGCGGAATGGGGGGGGAATCTGCCTTCGTCGGCGCCGAGGGTGCAAAGCATCTACTATACAGTTTTGTTGAACGGCAAACCGTGGGAGTGCGGAACTTCAGAAAACGTCGTAAACGTGCAGATACCCTGGATGCTCCCGAAGACTAAGCGTTCAAGATTTCGGAGTCAGTTGTAGCAAAGTCGAGTCAATACTGTGTGGCTCTGGGACCTAATAAGGACAAGCAGATCCATCACCGTCCGTCCGCAAGTAGGGCCGTCTCGCAATAAACAGCACCCTTAATTGTGCCTCTTTTTTGTCCCTCTTTTGCCTGCGGCTCTTAGAGCTTGCATCTTAGGGGCCGATTGCAAGAGCCTGTTGGCGTCGCTGTGCTGGAACATAAGCTCGACCTCGGCCAATGGATTTTCGGAAGCAAACCTCAGCATGCATAAAGGCACCTGCTGTAAGATAGATGCCTTGAAGGCATGCATGTTGGCCATGTTGAATGTCAAGGGACGGGCTGCGTTTTTCCTTGCAGCCACCCTTGCACCCCAAACTGCTTGGAGCCAAATTAGAACCATCGGATTTGCAGCCCAGAGGCCATCTTGGTGAGGCCGAGGCCTGCTGCGAGTTGAAAAGCCTCGGGCTTGAGATGATGTGGGGCTGTGGGTGGCTAAGGTTTGGATGTTACTGTTTGCTGTAGGATAATTTTCCGTCTGCCTGTCAGGAAAGTCGCCGCTGGCTGAAACTGAAGGTGTTGAATGGCCCAGTTTGACATGGGTTTAGTTGGGCTCCAGGGCTTTGCCCTTGGTGTTCGATGCTTAGGTTTAGGCTTAAGTTGAACGGATGAATGCTCGGACTTGGGGTTTGGAAGCGGTTGAGGCTTTAGGGCTTGGGCCGTGTGTTTTGGCATTCAATAGCGGCCAGTGCCGACATCCTACCTCGATGATCAGGATGCATCATACGATTGGGAGCTCGCGCGAGCCATTGTACAAGTTCGTATATAAGTGCCGGCTTTCAGTACGCACCCATCAATAACTAAGCAATAACAGAGCGAGATGATGCCAGAAAGGGCTCAAGGCTCGATGCTAGGGAGTCAGCTTAGCTTGACCCTAACTGCGGCAGTCTACTCTTTGACGGCTTCAGCCGAGCTACGTTCATGACGCTGGCCAAGATTAATTTGCGCGGCTGGACTACGAAGGACATGGCATCGAATCGATGCTCCTGGCAGAGCCGAACAACAGTGCAGTGTTGAGTGGCAGCAGCAGAGAATTGCAGGTCTGGTCTACTTGCTCCGCAGACTCCAGAAGTGTCCAATCGATTGAAGCGAATTGATCCACCTTCAACGCAGGATGGGTTGGGTGCCTGAGCGTGGCAAAGATCGCCACGTTGCCACTTGCTGTGGCAGGCTTCGCAGAAGTCGAAGTCATCGCAGTCGCGGCAGTGGTAGCGGATTCCTTGCGGAACCTGAACTTGGATGTGCCCCAGTCTTCTACTACTGCACATCCGATTCTGTCTAGAGTCTAGGTGTGCAGTGTGCGTGCATTCAGGGCTAAACGTAAATGAACTGGCGATCGTCCCTAAGGTGAACAAAAGCTAAGGCGTGCCAGAATGCCGTCACGGAACGCAGTTGCAGCCGTCGCAGACGATGCCCGCATGAACCACCGGCGTTTCAGATGGGTTGACCAAGGCACCCTTTCGGAGCAGCACCTCTCTACTTCGGCTGGTCTCTTGACATTTTTTGGACGGGGAAAGTCCCTGCGACATGTCTAGGTAGCAGGTCGAGCACACGACGTGAATTGAAGGAAGCGAGTGCGCCTGCGACTCTTCTGGCCGGGAGACGGTGCATTGGCCTCAGGTCTCAGGTGCTTTGTACTGCTTGGCTCGAAACCGTGCCACTTAATTACTTGGTCACACTTGGCACACTTCGACATAACGGCAGAGAAACTTCAAGACCGAGGATTAAAGCGTGCAAGGACATCCCAGTTCGGCCGCAGGACTGGCCACCACTCTGGCCATCTCCCCTCCAAGCTCAGAGCTTCTAGAGGCTTCATTCGTGCTGCAACGTCTCTTACTACACACTCATAAGCAACACCCGGGCACATTCCAGGCCAAACTCGCGGGCGGCGTCGTGGATCACTGACACGTGCAACCCTGTCAGACCCGGAGGATACCAGTATTCGGTCTCCTCTGCAGTCGACTCTGTAGGAAGTGCGTCCATGATGTTCGCTTGTGCCATAGCTTCACATTGGCATAGGTGGCTCTGTGCCATGGACTGTTGAACAGGCCATTACTGAAGCGAACACGGGTTTCAAGACGAGCTCAATGCGAGAATCAAACGGATGCCCTCGAATTGCATGGCAGAGCTCCTGGCTATTCATGAAGACATCAAGCTGTTGTCGTACCACGTGCATGCCTCAGTGAAGGACCACGTCCAAACTCTGGCTTCAAGTCCTGATCCAGCATAGATTCGCAGATGAACATTCGCGGATGCACCGAAGGCGCAGTCAATCCGGTCGTTCGGCAAAGCGCTCTCGGAGCTCCGGGAGGCAGGTGCCTGCGGTTCACGACGAGAACCACTCGCGGACTGAGGCTCACAGGTTTCGGGAATCTTCGGAAGGTTCTGTCTACAACTGGATAGGAGTTCAAACCGCCCACTGACTCGATGCACCCAAACTACGACTTCTACATTCATAAGACTCGCGGTCGACAATTCTTGCAAAGACTCGAGCACCTCCGCCCGTCGCACGACCACTCGGAGCTTGCTGCCCTCGCGCTCATCTTTTGCAAGCAGATCTGGGAATCTCGTCACCACCTGAGCACGGCAACATCGCAAGCTCACGGGTTTTAACGGTTTACTTTCTGTATGTGTGTCGTTGCGATCATGGCGACTGTGCAAGGATCCCTGGAGACTCCCAAAGCTGAAGACAAACACTTCACGTGGACAAGCCACGTCCCGGACTGCCCTTCGCTTGCGCTCCCCTTCTTGACAATGCTGTTCACTCCACGGGAAAGGGCACTCCTGCAAGGACGGGTCCAGGATCATCCTCTCGAGCTCTGTCTCAACCTCCTTGCTCCAGTCGGGCTTTGGCCTCGCTGATGGCTTGTGGGTCACAGTCACCTGCCGAGGGATCCGCCCCTTGCCATCCTTTCCTTTCCCCTTGCCTTTGCCACGTTTGCCCTTGCCCTTGCCCTTGGAAACTGGTACGTTCACCGTCTCCTGGTGCCAGCCCAAACTTTCTGCAACCTCATGCACCACCATCCGCTCGAACGCGTTCAGGGTGTCTGGAAACCTTGGTTGCGTTTGAAGGCTCCCCAGCCGGCTACTGCGTTTCCTGTCTCATGCAACTTATGTGATCGACATGCAGGCAGCAGGGGAACTTGTAGGATTCCCCAGGCCGGAGCGTGGAAAGCTCCTGACACAGATGCAGCTAGGCAGGCTTGCGACAGTTTCCCGAGGATGAGAAGCCTCTGGCTCCGAGGCACCAGGCTCCAGGCATGTCTCCTGGTGCACCCAGTCTTCCACCTCCTCACGGCTTCTCTTCCTCGGCATCTCTGGCTCCTAGCGCAGGAAAGCTTGAGGCGCCCTGAGGCTCCCTGGTTCAGCAGCGAGTGGCCATCCTCCTCGTCTTCACCAGACCGCCTGACCATGATTCCTCGGCCGGATGCCTCTGGCCAAGGCGGAGTGGCACCGGCACGACAAGTGATCCTTCCACGAACTGAGATATGCTGTTGCCCAAGGTCCTCTGTAGAAATTTGCTATGTCTCTTAAGTGAGCGTGCCAGACAGAAAACAGAACGGCGGCATACGGCAGCAACACCTCAAGAGAATAAGCCCTCTTGCGCTATGTTCACACACTCGACACACTTTACTACATGCTATGAGATCTTCGCGCCTTGGATGTCCAGCCAGAACCACGACGGCGCACCTCCTGCTCCGCCAATCGCTGCTACTTCTCTCTACAGGCTTTTCATGCTCGTCATCGGCAGCAGGAAGCAAACCGGTGATTCCAGACCGGAAGCATGATCTGCCATTCCCAGACCCCGCCTCATGCATCAGCTTGTGCTTGTACGACGAGAGGTTCACGCCCAAGATCACCTCTTCGCCTGTAATTGGGAGGGTAGTTTCTGAAGCAGATGTTTCATGATAAGCCTTTTTGATCCCCGAAACCCCCTTGCCTGGCTCCAGCTTTTCCAAGTCAGCGCGAAGCTCCTGCAAAATCCCACAGGCTCGCTGGGAAGTGAGACTCTGGAGCGCCATAGAGGACCTCCATGAACACGTCATCGTTCTCCGCAGGCTGCCGCCGTTCACCTTGAAGGTGAGGTCAGAGTTTCAGGTTGGCAGATCCACAAACTCCAAACTAAGCCGGCGTCTTTTAATTTGCTACGACACCGAGAAATAGCATTGTCAGCTGGGCGTAGCCATTGGCTTCATCGAAGTTTGTTGGCTGCATCCGCCTTTTACAGTCACAGAATCGTCCTTCCCTGTCATCTTCCCTGCGGTCCGGGCGATAGGATTTCTGGGACCACGGTGTCTTGGGGAACTGTTGCCCGGGTACAACTTCAGTGGGAGGTGCCCGGAACACTCCCGGAATCCCAGGCAAGTATCCCTCCGGAAGACACTTGTACGATCTTGTAATGTATAGCACGGATACAGCCTGTGCACTTGCATGTATGTATGACCATGTATGTATGTATGTATGTATGTATGTATGTATGTATGTATGTAGGCATGCATGCATGCATGCGTGCATGTATGTATGTGTGTGT